ATGAGTACTTGGTGATGTCATGAGGCTCCAGGACAGTTTAGGTTCTGACTTTTCCTCGTTTCCCTACAGCCTCTGGATTCACAAATGCAGATAACTTTACTACTGTTGCCACGAAGTCACCTACTGCATTGATACCTTCGACTGTTTCTACAAATGTACCCAGCCAGGAAACCATAACACCAAGTACTCATGAAAATACCACCCACCACTCTGTCTTTCAGGACAGCAAGGGGACCACAGCAACCATCTCAGGTAAAAAGTGTTTGTCTTGAGCCCCAGAGGGGTGCTGCTGGTGCCTGGGCAAAGCATTAGAACATTTGTAGACCACCCTTCCTGCCCTTGCTGACCCTCATGGATGGAAACATGCAACACCCTTGTAATAATGGCATCATGGTTAGGGTACCCTGAAGTAAGTTCTAGGTCATCCATCCTAGAGTGACAGCTTTCTCAGGCCAGTGCCTTGGCGCCTGATCCCGATCAGTAATGCTCCTTGTGCCTCTGCTCTCGTGCTGAGTTCATCTTAGTGATAAACTAGGGTTAGATGAGAACTCCCTAGAGATCTCTGATCTCTCCTAAGTGAAGGAAGGCGTGTACAGGTTCAAATTTGGGGTCTTCGACTTCTCTAGGGTGCACCAGCATCCAGTTGAGTTTCAGAATCCTGAGGGCCTCTCTAATATATTCTAGATTGTAGCTATGGTTTGAAGTGAGCTTGGTAAGAGTTAGGATATGAAGTAACTCTTAAACCCCCAAATTCCCTTTTCAGGTTGAAGTCTATGTCTATGTCATCATCTATAAGGTCTTCACTCATGACAGTGAACTGAGGGTGTGTGTGTGTGTGTGTGTGTGTGTGTGTGTGTGTGTATGCAAATGTGCCCAAACGCACACTTGTGTTTTGGTCTTTTTCAGAGCCTACATCCAACTTTACATCTACCTCTGAGATCACCACAGTTCCTGAAAACGTGAATTCTTCTGTCCAGACACAGACCTCTTTAGCCAGCACAGTGTCTTCCACCCTAACCAACTTTTCAACTTCAGAGATGACCTTGAAGCCCAGCGTGTCACCTGGAAATATTTCAGACCCCACATACAATAACACCAGTCCTGTGACATATACCATTAAACCCTACGCATCGTTTTCTTCTACCCCAAGTACCATTAAGGTGGGTGAATTGGGCCAAAAATGGCAGATTGCCCCCTCATTTCATAGGTATGCAAGCTCTCTACTCCCCTTAACTTCTCATTCCAACCAATCAGATTTGGGTCATTAAGAATTAACTGGGGCCCTGGCCAGTGTGGCTTAGTGTTTGAGCTTGTCCCGTGCACTGAAGGTTGGCAGTTCGATTCCCAGTCAGGGCACATACCCAGAGTGTGTATGGGAGGTAACCAATCAATGTTTCTTTCTCACATCGACGCTCTCGCTTTCTCCCCCCTCCCTTCTTCCCTCTCTAAAATCGATAAAAACATACTTTAAAAAGATTTGGCATGGAAAATAAGCAGCTTATATATTGCTGGAAGGGATAGAAAGGGAGAGAGCAGTGGAGTCAGGTAGTAAGGCTGGTCTGTACCATGGGAATTGCATTTCTAGGGAGTAGAGAGTAAAGGGAATTATCTGCAATCCAGTCCTGGGTGGTTTTTTCCCCAGTACCTCTTGGTCTGGACTTTGATTAGGGCACCATTCCAGTCTGTACATATTTAGAAACCATATTCCATTTAATGGGGCTGTTTTTCCCAAAATACTTAGGGCAAATACCATTTCCTCTATGTGAGAAGGTTTGGCGGTTCTGCCAGGGGTAGAGGGGCAGTGAGGAGCTCAGTAGACCAGGGATGGTAAGCTCAACCTGCCCTTCTCAGCCTTGGGGCCAGTGCTGTCAACAGCTTTCAGCAGGAAGGGTAGAAAATATGAGGCGGTGGAACCTGGGAGCAGGCACTGGGGGGGCTGCCTGGTTTTTGTTTTTAAAGGAGCTAGATAAGGAATCTGGACAGTCCTAGGGGGCAGGAGGAAAATGAGTGTCACCAGAATTGTCTGTTTGCCTATAGAGGGCGGGGCAAAAGTAAGTTTACAGTTGTGAGTACACAAAACGCAGAGTTTATTCTTTTATTATGATTTATTGCATTATTTTCCATACAACAACTGTACACCTACTTTTGCCCCACCCTGTATGGCTTTACTGCAAGTAAACAAACCACTGGAGGAAAAACATCCTGCCCTGCCCTCTTCCAGCTCTGCACCACGCAAGCCAGTCTTTACCAAGTTTGCAAACAGCTGGTATCTGCTGGGATAGGGGGTAAGATGGAGGAAATATGATTACTATAAAGCTCCAGTCCCCAAACAAGCTTTAAAATTTTCTTTTCTCTAAAATCTCTTAAGAGAGTAGTTCACAGAAATCAAACTGGAAAAGAGGTGGGGAAGAAATGAGAGGCCCAGATGCTGGCTTATTTACTTTGCTTTTGTCTTAATACAGGGAGAAATCAAATGTTCCAAAGTCAAAGAAGTGAAATTGGCCCAAGCTATCTGCCTGGAGCGCAATGAGACCTCCAGCTGTGTAAGTCAAACCCCTGCCCCTATTCC